TATTACTTACATCGCCTTGCGAGGGAGAGCCTTGGTGATTCGGGTTTCAGGAACTTCTGGGACTTGTGAATTGTTTCTCAAGTCTCCAGGATCCTCCTTTTAGGATGGGATGTTTCAAGGTGGAACTTCATGAGCTGTAAGGAGCCCCTCTCCGTGATGGTTTAGACTGGGAGATCTTGCTGTTAATTCTTGGCTCTTGGGTTTCTCTGGTTCCCTGTTTCATCATCTCTTCTGCATATGGTCATTTCCCTTCCTTCTTTTATGCCATGTTGTACTCTGGGCAAGAGGTGGCTTCATCAGAGGTTGAATGGCTAGGGCTACCCAATCTTAGACTTGCAGTCTCCAGAACTCTGAACTAAATAAACCTCATTTCTTGGTTTAATACCCAGCCTTAAACAATACGCAGATAGTACCTAATACAACCATTCTCCAAACTTCCTGTCATGACCCTTAGAATTCTTAGCTTTTTTTCATTTTGACAAAAATGTTATGAAAGATGAGAGGAAGCTTTTCTCTCCCACACTTAGTCAATCCATGCCCCATCACTCAAAGGAAGTCATTACCGTCAAGAAAATGTCTTGTTTCTGGCTGTATGCCTTTAATTCCAGGATTCAGGAGGCAGAGCCAGGTCGATCTCTGAGTTTGAGGCCAGTCTGGTCTATACAGTGAGTTCCAAGACAGCCAGGCCTGTTCACAGAGAAAATTCTGTCAAAAAGAAAGAAAGAAAGAAAGAAAGAAAGAAAGAAAGGAAGGAAGAAGTGTGTTGTGATAGTTGCCTTGGACCGAGAATGATTTCCAGGAAGAAAAACCAAAGCTTGGGAAATAGATGTTGGGAAGGCAAAAGCCAACAAACAAACAAACAAACAATGTCTTCTTCATGATTTAGATGACTGTGGATAAGGGTATTTTTCTCAGAAATTGAATTGAATTGAATTGAATTTCTCAGAAATTGAATATGCTCAGGAATTGAGGAATAGCTAGAATCCCAGAACTTTGTTGAGCATTATCCAGAAGGAGGAATTTGAACATGCAGACATGCAACATTGGTCATTTTAACCATTAAAAGAATTCCCTGTAAAGCATTTATTTGGGTATCCAACTACTGTTTGTGGTAGCTTATTGAGTGCCAGGCATTGGCCAAGACGCTGGAGAGGGAAGAGTGAAAGCATTGTTCCAGGAGGTTTCTGGAAGTAGTCTGGGACTGTTTTGAGTCACTTGTCATGAAGTGCACAAATTTTGGCACACAGTTCAAAATGTGTCGGTGGCCAACTCTGAGAGTTTCCCACAGAAAACAATCAGGAATTCAGTAACTCTGTTACTAGGGAATTCAGGGTTCCCTTTCATGGGTTCTTAGTCTCATTAATAAAAGAATATAAGCGCTGACTCAAAAGGGAGCTTGAGGAATATCTCGTTAGAATTTGAGAGAAAAACAACAGGGCAAGCAAACTGGAAGTTCTGCCAGTTGCCAGGAGGAGAAAGATGGATAAAAGGAAGAGAGGAAGGCAGGCCTTCTAAGTTAGGGTCCAAGAAAGCGGGCAGGTTCAGCACTGGAGGTTAGCAAAGGCTTGCCTGATGGAAGAAGGTGCTTTAAAACAAAAACAAACAAATGAAGATACCCCCGAAGGTCATGGAAAGAGACAGTTATTTAAGAAAGCGGAAGCACACCTGGGAGCAAGTGGGTGAGTGGGCAGGGAAAGCGTGTGCTCTAAAAGCCGTAGCTTGCACCTTGCACCTTTTCCAGAGTGTGAACTGCTCAGGCCTCGCTCACGCATGCTCTGCTCATTACATGAAGCCCTGGCGAGGAAGGGCTTCCAGTCTCTCTGCCAACTACTTTCTTTTGTATGTTAATCTTGATGTGTCATTCCCAGTCTCTGCTCTCCCGGCCACAACTCCACCCGAATAAAAATAAAACCTTAAAATCAGTCAGGAGAGAGAGAGAGAGAGAGAGAGAGAGAGAGAGAGAGAGAGAGAGAGAGAGAAAACTATTCAGGAAAATTCCCTACCGCCAGACTGGTTTCTGTTCTGCCCCGATTGGTCATGCATCTCTAGCAAAAGATTCTAATGAATTCCACAGGTGTGCTTGCATCATAACAGACTGTTTCCTGGAGAGAATGCTTGGCTTCCATGCCAGCAGCGCTCCGGAGTTCATAGGTCCTCACCAGAGCACTGGAACCTCACTAAACCCGGAACCTCTTACCAGCCACCTGGAATAGATCAGTTGGTAAGCGGAATACTATCAATGAAGTGGAATTCAGACAGTTTTGGTGTTCCTAGTTCTGAACAAGAGGCAAGTTTCAGTTGCTCTCAAATCTTAGAGATTAATCAAGTGGCGAGAAAGCCTTATGCTGCTCCTTCTTCCACAGCTGCCCCGAGCAGTGCCATTGTAAAAAGAGGTTCCCTGACTAGGTCAGCTCCAGTTTCAGCATTACCATCTATTGACAGGTAGTTAAGAGGGAATATCTCCCAGAAAAGGAATTTAAATTCTTTTTATTCTCAAAAGATTGCTTGTAGGAGTAATGACTTTTGTTTAATTCCACTTTGTGAGACTTACACTTAAATGCATAGGATGAAGCTCATCTTAGTCAAGTCCAAAATATTAATTAAAATATTTGTTTTTATCTATCTATCTATCTATCTATCTATCTATCTATCTATCTATCTATCTATCTATCTATTTTTGAGACAGAGTTTCACCATGTAATTCTGACTGGCCTAGAACTTTCTATATAGACCAGGCTGACATTGAACTCACAGAAACTGGCCTACCTCTGCCTCCTGCTGGGATTCAATGAATGTGTCTCTATACCCAGCTATTTTTAATTTTTAGTTTGTGTGTCTCATAACAAGTATAATTACATCCTTTACATGTCCTTCCCCCAATTCCTCCTATGTCCCCCCATCCCTCTCTCAAATTCATGATCTCTTCTATTTTTGTTATATACATTTCAATATATAAATAGGCAGAGTTGACATTTAGGTAAGAAACGCACCTTTAAGACGTTCTTTGTTAGAGGTACACATGAAATTCACTCACGGTGTACTTTTCATAATTGCTGCCATTTAGATTACTAACCTCAGGGCTGGAAGGATGCTCAGTAGGAAGATGTTTACTATGCTAGCTTGACCACCTGCGTTTGCATTTGAAGCATCTACTTAGAAGTTAGATGTGGCAGTGGGCTGCCTATAACCCCAGGGCTGGTGTGTGTGTGTGTGTGTGTGTGTGTGTGTGTGTGTGTGTGTGTGTAAGACAGGCAGACCCCAGGGGACCCTAGCCAGCTAGTGTAGATGAAACAATGAGCATGCTACATGCATAGACATTTGTACACATACATGCACACACAGAGACATACATACACAGACACATATACAAACACACACATAGACATTTGTATACATACACACACACAGAGGCATGCATATACAGACACAGACACATATACAAACACACACATAGACATTTGTATACATACACACACAGAGACATGCATATACAGACACAGACACATATACAAACACACACATAGACATTTGTATACATACACACACACAGAGACATGCATATACAGACACAGACACATATACAAACACACACATAGACATTTATATACATACACACACACAGACATGCATATACAGACACAGACATGTATACAAACACACACATAGGCCTGTGTGCACAGACCCACACAGAGGCATGTGTACACACAGAGAGAAGCATGTGTACACACACAGAGAAACATGTTTATACACACAAAGGCAGGTTTTCACAACACAAATTATTAATTAGGTATAGTCTGGTCACATTTTCCCTGTTTTTGTCTGTATAGCTTTTACCTGGCAAAATAAAAATTTCAGTCCAGACCTTATTTCTGAATTTATTAGGCAAAAGTCTCCTTTCTTCCAGTTGGCTTTTCCCATGGTAACCACATTTGGGTTTTTGTCAGCATGCTATAAGAGCCACACTTCCATTATTTTTATTCTGGGATATGCATTTGTGTAGATTGCAGCAGAGTCTGGCCATGTAGCCCAGGCTAGCCTCAAACTCTTGATTGTCCTGCCTTAGTCTTGTTAGTCTCCTGAGCACTGGGATTACAGGTGTGTACCATCATGCTTTGCTGTCTCGATGGCGTGGGTCCCTCTTTGCAGTTATTTGTGGTGTGCCTTCAAGGACCCTACGGTGAATGGATGGTGTGCACTGAAGCTTTCTGAGAGCTTGAATTGTTACTTGGATTAAGCCCTCTATCATAGTGCACGTGACCTGTCTCTCCCTCCAGCCTCTCGTTCAGTGTTGGTCCTAGCATCTTGGAGCCAGCTCACTTCCCATCTAACCACGCTCTCCTCTCTGGCCCACGTTCACACGCCCTTTCCCATTTCTGCACGACTTCCTTAATTGACTCCTCTTTGCTCTTGACCTCCCTGGTCTGAGTACGGACCTTTTCAGTGTGCTCAGCGAACTATCTGGTATTCCTTACCATTCCTTACCACGTTCTTTGCTGTAATCAGAGCCTGACAGTGTAATGTTTAGATACATGCTGAACCAATGACAGAGTGAACAAGATACCCCAAAGTACCTTAGAGATAAGTCTTCTCTATAGCACATTTCCTTTGTCACAGTGAGGGAGACAGAAAAGACCAGCAATCTGATCTTGGAGATCATTTTCCCCAAATATAGATTAACTGGAGATAGGAGAGCCAGGCCTGGCCTTCTGGACAGCTGCCTTTACTTCCTCATTCCAGATTTCTAAAGCCTGGAAGGGAGATTTGTACCACACTCCCAGAGTCAGAAACAGTGCAAGCATTTCCTCTTGGGATTAAAGGCTTTGTGATTCTATACTTTTCTGATTTATGAATATCATCAATTAGACAGACCTATTTTGTCTGGGCTGAGGGGAGGTGCAGCAGGCCAGATCCTTTTCAGAAAGATTTATGGGTTTTCTTCTTCAGGTCAGTGAGGCAAACAAGGGAATGTTTGAAAGGGAGCGGTTGGCTGGAGGCTGGGTCATTTCTGCCTTTGTTGCTGGGAGACTGCGTAGGTATGGCTCTCTCTGCCTGAAGGAGAGTGCAGGAGACTTATGCATCTTAAATAATTTGTTTCGAAGATTCTCATGCCTACTCACAACAACTTTTTGGTATGTGTGCATACAGGTACGTTCACATGTGCATGGGTTCACACGTGTGTGTATATATGTAGGCTCGCGGCTGACTCAGCAGTCCTTCTTGATTGCTCCCCACTGTATTCACTGAAGTCTTTTAGTTGAGCGCAGAGATACCCTGGCTAGCCAGCTTGTTCCAGGGACCCCTGTCTCTGCCTTCTAAGCACTGAAGTTGCGGGCAGGCTGCTAGGCTCACCTAGCATTTATGCGGGAACTCTGAATTCTGGCTCCCAGCAAGTGTCTTATCCACTAAGCCACATTGCTAGCCCACAACAATTTATACATGCCCAGAGGTGACAAAAGGTTGTATCCCAAATGAAATCCTCTTTTTTTCGGGGGCCTTTGAATTCTGTGCAGCGTCCAGGAGAGCTTTACTTCAACAGCTGGGCCTCTTTGGGCTGCACCTGTTGTTGGGAACCCAAAGAATCTGTTTTGGAATAGTCGGAGATAATTCTTCCAGTGTTATGATAAGATTGTAGAGAAAAATTGCCAGGAAAATCCTTGTAGATTCTGATCTACAATAGCCTAGCTTTCTCCAGCCTTGCATCCACTACAAAAGTTCAAGGGCTTCAAGGTGCTGCTTAAGATTGGTTTTGGAGCCAGATGAAGGTAGGACGCTTCTTGAGTTGGTTCCCATTTGTACTTTCCTTTCAGCCAGCATTCAGATGGATGGAGCCTTGAATACCACAACATTAGGAATGGTGGACACAATGAATTTAAGATCCTCTCTCTCTCCCTCCCTTCCTCCCTCCCTCCCCCACTCTGTGTGTGTGTGTGTGTGTGTGTGTCTGTCTGTCTGTCTCTCTCCCCCCTCTCTGAACTGATTGACCTCAGATAAATAAATTAAAGGCAGCTGGATTTCCGTGGGTCTTTTGGAATAAATCTGTTGAGCAAGCAGAGGCAGTGGCTTTAGATGTGGGTCACTTGTTCCCCCTAAAAAATGGTCTTTTAGCTGGAAGGGATTATTTTAGGCTAGAATAAGGGATTTTTTTTTGATTTGTTTGTTTATGAGGGGTAAAGAAGACTTTTCACAGAGAGGACTATGGGAGGCATCTCTTGAAGGCCACTAGACAGAGTTTTACAGGCTCCATGATTTTTATATGATGATTGTCTGCAAAAAAGGGAAACTGAGTCAATGGATTTTATAGGGGCTGTTCCTTAGCTGCCTTCTATTTTTAGAGCGAGTAAAGTTTGGCTAGACACTCGTTTTGAGATGGAAGTGTCTGTGATCTTAAGAGACTAAAGTCCCCTGGATGGAGTTTGAAGGGATAGGACATTCCCTTGTCTAAGTGAGAGCATCCATCTATTCCCAGAGGTCAGCATCCGGGTCTGGATCTTATCTTGTTCACCAACGTAACAGTCATCTGTGTATTGTAAGTCCTTCAACTCATTCTCTTTCCACTGCTCAGGCATCTCAGGTGTTAAGCCTGAGAATCAAGTTCACGACTGTCCAAATAAAGCAAGTTGTGCTTTGGGGTGCACCCAGGACTGGCCAGCTGGCTGCCTCACCTTTAGCTGGGATTTGAG